AATTTTGGTTGACTGTTTTTAAGAATGTTGACTTGCTCAGTGACATGGTTCAGGAACATGATGAACCTATTCTGAAGCATTTGAAGGACATTAAAGTGAAGTTCTCAGATGCTGGCCAGCCTATGAGTTTTATCTTAGAATTTCACTTTGAAACCAATGAATATTTCACAAATAAAGTGTTGACAAAGACATATAGGATGAGATCTGAGCCAGATGATTCTGATCCCTTTTCATTTGATGGACCAGAAATTATGGGCTGTACAGGGTGCCAAACAGACTGGAAAAAAGGAAAGAATGTCACTTTGAAAACCATTAAAAAGAAGCAGAAACATAAGGGATGTGGGACAGTTCGTACTGTGACTAAAACAGTTTCCAATGATTCTTTCTTTAATTTTTTTGCTCCTCCAGAAGTTCCTGAGAGTGGAGATCTGGATGATGATGCCGAAGCTATCCTTGCTGCAGACTTTGAAATTGGTCACTTTTTACATGAGCGTATAATTCCAAGATCGGTGTTGTACTTCACTGGAGGAGCTACTGAAGATGATGATGATGATTATGATGAAGAAGGTGAAGAAGCAGATGAGGAAAGGGAAGAAGAAGATGAGGAAAATGATCCAGACTATGACCCAAAGAAGGAGCAAAACCCAGCAGAGTGCAAGCAGCAGTGAAGCAGGATGTGTGTGGCCTTCAGGATAACCTGCACTGGTCTACCTTCTGCTTTCCTGGAAAAGATGACTTTACATCATTTGATGAGCCTATTTCACGTTTTTTTGGTTGGTTGTTTATTTTTGTTGTTTGCTGTCTAAAATAAAAATGTTAAATGCAATTTTAGTTCTCACAAGGTAATGTCTTAATTTTGTACTAATTCAAGTTAGAAACAGAGGCTTAACTTGGATTCATGGTAATTGTGCCCAGTTTAACATATTGAAGGAAAAGGAGCCAACTTTGAAAGATCTGATAAGCAAGTGGAAAACAAAAAGTAAAAGCATAAAACCTCTAAATGGTTTGATACATTTTTTAAAAGAAGAAAAGTTAAATTTCATAGTTTTGGATTATAACTAGAGAGAAAGCCCTAAGCCTCTA